TTTAGCTTTCTCCAACCTTTTCTTCAACCCATCCATGACTACTTTGTTTGAAGCTTCTGCCTGCCCATTTGCTTGGGGATATGCCGGTGTAGAATTATAGAACTCTATCTTGTATTCTTCACAAAAGCCTCTGAAGATTCTACCGTCGAACTGAGTGCCATTGTTTGAGATAAGGGATTTTGGTATGCCAAACCGAGTGATAATGTTTTGCCAGACGAATTTCTTCACATCTCTTTCCTTGATCGATGCCAATGCTTCCACTTCCACCCACTTTGTAAAGTAGTCTGTTGTTGCGAGAAAGAACTTTCTGTTGCCGGGTGCTGTTGGAAGTGGTCCTACTATGTCCAAGCCCCACATTGCGAAAGGCCATGGGCTAGTTAATGGTAGGAGTTCTTTTGCTGGTTGATGTATTTGGTGTGCAAATTTTTGGCATTTCTCACACTTCTTCACATATTTTTCTGAGTCTGCCTGCATGTATGGCCACCAGTATCCTTGTGAAATGGCCCTGTAAGCTAGCGATCTTCCTCATTGATGGCTTCCGCACACCCCTTCGTGTATTTCGTACAAGAATGCTTCCACTTTGCTAGGGTGGACACACTTTAGATAGGGTCCTAAGAATGACTTTTGGTATAATGTCAAAGATGGGGAGAGCCAAAATCGCTGTGACTTTGCTCTAATTTTGTTGGCTTCTTTCTTTTCTTCCGGTAGGACGCCATCTTTTAAGAATAGCATAATGGGATCCATCCATGAATGGCCTAGTTCTGTGCAACATACCTCTTCTGCTTCGGGGTCCTCAATGCTTGGTCTTGGTAGGTAGTCGATCAGTAGTGGATGAGGGATGGATGTATCTGCCATTGAGCCAAAGCCTGCTAGTTCGTCCGTTCTGCTGTTTTCCTCCCTGCCAATTTGTTCTATCCTTACTACTTCAAATTTCTTGATCTCTGTTCTGACCAATTCTTGGTACTTTGCCATTCTGTCATCCTTTGTTTCATAGTCACCAGAAATTTGATTTATCACCAGCTGTGAGTCGATGTAGACCATTAGTTCGGTGGCCTTCATGTAGTATGCTGATTTGAGTCCTGCGAGAAGCGCTTCATATTCCGCTTCGTTGTTTGATGCTGGGAAGCCAAGGTTGATTGCTTGCTCCACAACCACGCCGTCTGGTGAGATGAGGACTATGCCAAGTCCTGCACCATACCGGTTGGATGCCCCATCCACAAAGAGCTTCCACATCTCACCAACGAACAACTTCCAGCAAATGGAGGGGTCAGATGATGTCGTGGGGTCAAGAATGTTGTTGGTGTTTTCTTCAAGGTCCATGCTTGCTGCCTGGCCCTCGCTATCTGCCTGCCCTTCTCTAATTGCTCCTGCCTCCAGTAGGTTACCTACTTCTTCCGCCACGATTTCGGCATAGTGAAGTGCCGATCTGCGAGTGCGCTGAATGACTGGTCTGGCGGATGGATGGACATTGAGTTGGTGACAGATGAAGTTTGGATCAATACTTGGCATGTCACAAGGCGTCCAGGCGAACACTTCGATGTTAGAGGTTAAGAATTCTAAGACCTCTAATCTCTCAGTGCTGGACAACGACGAACCGAGCAAAAAGAACTTATCCGGGTTCTTTTCATCTATTCTTACCTCTACCAAGTCCTCCACTACTTTCTGATCAGCCGCTTTGCCGACATCTGCGAATAGCTTATTGCTCTCAGGTTCCTCCACCGAGTGAACGTATCCTTTGGCAGCGCGACTGCCGTTCACCGTGACGAAGCATTGTTTTGACATGATCTGATCTCCATAGACTTCTTCAATTATACCGGTGTCGTTGGGGAACCGCATTACTTGGTGGTAGGATGACGCCACCGATCGCATGGCATGCAGCCATGTTTCTGCCCAAGAAGATGTTGTAAGTGGAAGGGACCTTTAATACCCAGAACTCCACTTGTTTTGTCACGCTTCCTGCCCTGACTAGAAGAATTATCTTACCGACGGGCCATTCTGGCATGGAGTTGAATCCAATTAGGGGAGATATGGCAGGCGCCAAGTCTTTGTCTTGCAGTTTTAATTGTTTAAATGTTTCATAGTACATGATTTCATATGAACTACCCTGGTCAATCAGAATCCGCTTGACGTCAAAATCCTTGACTCGGAGAGTGACGACCAGGGCATCATTGTGAGGGCAATATATCCGTTCCAAGTCTTTATCCGAAAAAGACATGACGTTTGTTGCCTCTGTCTTCCCCTTCTTGGTGGCAAGTTGGGCACTTAGCACCTCTCTTAAGTGTTCAGCCTTTTTGATTGATCCTCTGAGCTCGCATACACGCTCAGGTTCAAAGACCCCATGTATCACATTGATAACGCCTTGAGGTGGGCCGTCGACTGGCATCCCGTTAGGGTTATTGTGATCCTGGGGGGCTGGTTGCGTCCCTCCTTCAATGTACTTATCCAAGTGTCCTGCTGCCACCAATTCCTCCAGGTGTTGCCTCAATGGTGTGCAATTCTCAGTGCGGTGTCCCTTTTCTTTATGGAAGGTGCACCGCGATCTTTCGTCATAGTCCTTCTGAGCTTCTCCTAGCTTGGCTAGCCACTTGATGAAAGGCTCATCTCTTATTTCATCCAGAATCCGATATATCGATTTTTTGAACACCGTGGTTATGGCAGTGCGGATTCTCAACCATCTTTTATCCGGGTCTTCTCCGTTATCTCGTCTGCCACGTCCGTTTCGGTTATGACGATCTACTGCATTGACCTTTGCTGAGGTTTTCTTTTCTGGTACTGCGGTTGCACCAGATTTTGCTTTGGCACGTGAGCCATCCTCTTCTACCCTGATGTGCTGATGCACTCTTTCCATCAGGGCTTCCATGGTAAGGGGTGGTGTCATGGTGATCGAGTCCCTCAGTCTGTTTCCGACTGGAAGGCCTCTTTTATACTGTGCAATGGCGAGATTGGTGGGGCAGTCCCCAATCTGATTGAATGTCTCCCAGTAGCGACTATTGTAGGATCTTAAGGTCTCTTTATCGCCCATGTTGAAGGAGAGTAGCTGGTCGATCTCCACTGGGGTTTTGGTGTTTGTTCGGAACCTTGTTACGAAGGCCTCTGCCAATTGCGCCCAAGAGGCTATGCTGCCCTCTGGAAGTTTCTCGAACCAAGTCAAGCCTAGGTCGCCAAGGCTTGATGGGAAGAGTATGCACATTAAGGCCTCGTTTCGCCTGTATACAGCCATGACTTGGCGAAAGTGGCTCAAGTGTGAGTAGGGGTCCGTCTTCCCTTCATATGTAGTGAATTTGGGCTGAAGGAAGCCTGATGGTAGGGGCGCGTTTTCAATCGCCGGAACAAACGGCGAAGTCTGCAGCCTTGCTAATGCTTTGTCCGTTGGTTCGTAGGCAGGGCGCGGTATTGGCATTCCAACCTCGACGCTTCCATGCGTCCGAGGAGCCAACCATTGTAAGGCCGAAACTCTATGTGAATCCCTTGTCCTGGCATCCTTCTTGCATCGTGCATTTGCTTCGAGCACAGTTCGTAAGTCGGATGATCTGGGTAATTCCATCTGTTTAGATCTGGTTTGGTGTGAATGCGAGGGCCAATACGTGCTTCCTTCAGTGTATGATCTTTCAGATCTCATCCTCTCAAACCTGGAGTGACGAGTTCTGGAAGACCAGGATTGAGTATCGCCTGTCCTGAGGCTGCTACTCTCTCCTTGCGAGGGTGTAGTATTCCTACTACAATTTTCTGAGTGGCGAGGGGGCGTCTTGTTTTTGCGCCCCTCTCCTGTCGCCACTTCTTTACTCTTCATCTGACGTTTCAACGCCTCCATGTCGGCCGCCATCTTCCTTATCAATTCGTCTTGTTCCTTCACGCGATCTTCCAGAGCTTGAGGATCAATCCTCCGTCTTTGCCTGTCAGGACTTTGCGAGCGAGATTGACGGGGGCTGTGAGTCCGTCTCCCCCTTGTATCCTTCCTAGTGTTATGTCGTTGGGGCTCCAAATCTGCCATGGGAGGGATAGAAGGTAATCCTTCACGCCTTGCTCCCCCATCTGGAGTTTGCCCGTCGACGGCGGAATGTGGCAATTCTTCAATGTGCGCCATTATTTGTAAAGAGGAGAAGCTTTTAGTCTAGAGGTTTTGTTCTGTCTGTACTTCCCACAGACGGCGCCAATTGTACGGGAAAGAAATATACTTTCTCGTATAATCCTGTTGACTAAGTCTACTCTCCTCCGTACGTCGTCGCTTTATCACCTGAAAACACAAACGTGAGCTAGCTGGCGGGTGTGTACCGGAAACCTCTCCGATGCCTAAGTCAGTAAACTTGACAAATAGACAAAAGCTCTGTGTATTCAGAAAGCAAAGTTGTGTGTTACCTCTCCCAAGGTGATGTTTTTGAGCTTTTATAGGTTTTGCGTGGCACAATCCTAGTAGGACTTCTACTCCTCCACGCAGAGTCCTCCTAGGATTCATACTCCTGAAAGATAATGCTTATCCTTCAACACCCCCTTCACTGCTTAAACCAAGTGAGATGGTTGTATCATGGCCGAACTCCAATACGACTGAAGTAAACACGACTAAGCATAGCCGTAGAATGAGCCGAACTAGTTCTTCCTTTTACTTCTCTTACGTCGGCTTCTCGTGCACTGTACATGGCACGGTTTAGACCAAACTAATGATTCGCGACCGATATAACTCCAAGACCGGTCTAACTTCAAGTTGCTTCCGGACCGAAGTAACTTTACACGTATCTTGGGCCGGAGTAATTCTGTACCTCTCTTGGGCTGGAGTAACTTTTACGGACTTTTTTACTCAGCCCTTTGTATTGTGGGCCACTATGACCATCTTATAGCTCGGCCCAATTTTCACCAAAATTACCCTCTCAGGAACCAATATATTCATATTCATAAAATGATACTAGTTTTAAGCATGTCCTGTTGATTGAGTGTTTTTTTAAAACTCTGAAACTCATTACATGTATTTTTTATTTTTTTTTTTGAAATCTGGTTCTGCAGACATAATGGCCAACAATCCCTCGGAATTTACCAAAGGTACTTCGTCCCTTGATGCTTTTGCTCAAGCCATTGATTCAGTTTCTTATGCTTCTTTGGTTTCTTTGTGTCAAAATACCTGCTCCTGATGTTTTATAGTGCAGGTGAGCTCTGAAAGATGTATGTGGCTGAATTATTGTCAAAATACATTGTTTGACACTTTTTAAGTTATATTGTTTTGGCAGTGTTTTGATGACCTTTTTATTATTGTAAATCTTTAGAACTTTTCTTATATAACTGCTAAAGTGTTAGCATTGAAAAAGTTCATTGAAATAAGCATGATTTAGGTAGAATATCTGGTAACAATTTCATCAGAGGAAGTATTATATGTTATCTTTTGTGCATTATTATTATCTTATTGGTTCTTTTTATTGAATGCTTTGAAATTTTGGAAAAGAATATTGTTAGTGTCCAATTTCTATCTTTCTTCTTTTACTAAGGGTCACATACTGAACAAAGTAGTAGCAGCTTCAACCTATAAAAATATTGGTGGCCCAAAATGGGCCTAACCTGTAATCATCCATGGCTATGTTTGCTTGGCCATGATTCAAGTCAGTTTTGAATAGGAGTGTCGTGCCTTGCATGCTTGGATTGATATTTTGGTCTAAACTACCTTGTTTCGGCTTCTGTAGAATCCACCTTCTGTCCCAACTTTAGTGGCTGTAAAGTGGGCAAGCTGGTTGAGGCGTTTTGCATTTATTGTTGATTGGCACAATCTTGGATATACTTTGCTAGCATTGTCTCTCGGAAGAAGTAGTGTTTTTGTGGCAATATACCATTGGTACACTTGAATTGACTTGTAAACTTTCCTTTGGATTTGAAGGCCTTTCTTTGTCTTCATACCTGAAGTGTGAGTTTTTGGTGCATGTCTAGGTTTGAGAAGCATTTTGAGAAGATGGCAAATGGTTCCTTATGCGCGACAAAGGCAATGCAACATGAATTGGCACAAAACTGGGGAATTAAGTAAGATGGGTCTTCTGAAAGTTTGCAATAGCCTCCATTCTGCTTGTTCAAATTTATTATTAAGCCGTTTAATGGTACATTTTTTGTTTTCTTCCATGTTTTAAATTTGTAGTGCTGCAGTTCTTTATGACCAGCCTCCTGAGTTTTTATTGAATTGGTTGATTGCTTATATTTGGATCAATGTCTTGCCAACAAACTGCTTAAACTTATTATAGGTCAAGGCTAGATAATTTTCCTGGTTTGGCTACACCTGATGGAATGGATACATCATATTTGGCATGATTTTTTTTTAAATTAATGTGCATCCTCATAAGTGGATGCATTGAAGTAACTATATTCCTATTGTATTCAAACTAGTTGATATTCATTATTTTTGGAATCTTTTGCAGATTACTGACTTGCCATTTTCTCTATATTCAATATTTGTCATTGAGGCCCGCCATGGTTTCATCAAAGTTTGTACTCTCTCATTACTGATTATCATGTTCATATATTGTTATTTCCTACCTTAAAAATTTAGTTGTTACATTCTTGCTCTTGTTTTGCTGAAGTAACAGCAAACAATATGGTTATTCATTAGGGACATGATTAAAGGAATCATCCTAGCAATTATAATTGGATCGCCTATTGTCGCAACAATTATTGTAATAGTACAGGTACTGTTTTTTTCACTGTATTAAGACATTTCAGTTTTACTTTGCTGGTTGGTGATAAAAAATGTTCATTTGTTTGGGTTGAAGAAAGGAAGTCCTTGGCCATCTATCTTTGGGGGTTTCTGCTTGTACTATCTCTTGTGATGATGACTGTTTACAACATTTTAATTGCGTCACTTTTTAACAAGCTCACTCCAGTGAGTTTCAAATATATTTTTAGCCCATTTTAATTGAAGAAAGCAATTCGAGTTCATGTTTAGTTTAATGGTAATTTATTGTGGTATGTTTTGTCAAACAGCTTCCGGATGGAGAACTCTGCATGGTTGAGAAGCTATTTATTCACTACGTGGTCAGATCTTGTCTTGGGTTATTTGAACAGGTTTACTGTCAATAAGTTGCGTTGACTGTTTATTTGAATAGGTTTACCGTCAATAAGTCGGTGATTCATCAGAGCGATTTCGAAGTTCTCTATTGAAATCGAAATCGAAGTTCATCTCAGTGATTCATATCGGTGAGCTCCACTCTCTCTCTCTCTCTCTCTCTTAAGGTGAAATCAATCCTGTGAAATTCTATGAATGGTTTCGATATTTGATTTGAAACGATCCTGTCATATCCCTCATTTTGCTGAAATTCTATGAATGGTTTTTTTAATCTTATAATTTGAACTAAAACTTCTTATTTTGTTGTAATTTGTTAATAGAGAGAAGTACGAAATTGGTTAACTGATTAGTGGGGGAGAGACAGATAAATGGAATAAAAAAAAGAAATAAATTGCTATTAAAAACTATCCCACTTCACATGGCCAAGCCTATTGTTAATTGATATGGGATCATAAGAATCAAAACAAATCCCTTCATAATTATTATTTTGTCTTAATGTAAACGACTCTATTAGAGGATTCCATTGAATGTTTTAAAAAATGACAATAGTACCTATGACTTGTAGTTGAAAATTGTTGTAATCATTATTTTGTCTTCCGTAGTATTTGATTGCTTTTTGCAGTATGGCGTTTGTTGATGCAAGATACTGGTATTTGGCCTAGCTGTACATCTGCTTCTTCGTTAATATTTTGTTTTTTGTTTTAGAGTTTTACTCGGGGTAAATTAAAAGACTCCTGGTTTTGTTGGATTTTAATCTTCATACGGTTCTTGCCTAATGTCTATTGTTCTTGAGATTTGACTGTACATTTTGTACCAGTTAAAGATTTAATATTATTTTTTGTGCACCCGAAGCTAGAGTCAGTTTCTTTTTTGGACCTTCTCAACCAACCCATGTATTCTCCCATAAAATTACTAGGCTCGTATTGAAGTTTATAGAAGCCAAACACTGTGAATTTTCATGATGAATTTGCTCCTGATATTACCATTTTGTTTCTTAAATCCTTGTGTATCTCAGGTTAGATTGGATTCTTTTAGACTATGTGGTTGGCAACAAAGAAAAGCGTGGGGCTCGCGAAACATTCGTTGACTGTGACTGGATCAGCACTTTCTGCTTACTCTTCTGCCCAGCATGTTCGCAGCTGTCATGAGGCATGATAAAGTTTCAGATTGATTGAATTGTTGCTGTAGAAACTAGTCTGTGTAGAAATTTAATGAAAAACAAAAAAAGAAGCCAGTTTGTAGTCTTGTGTAGAAATGTTTGAAGTACATATATTTTTTTGTTTTGATAAACAATGCAGGTCTCTGAAAATGTTAGAGAAGCTATCAGTACTGCATACTTGGCAAGGCATCCAATGCATTCTGGGTAACTTTTTTGGCCACTTGTTTTTGAAGTTATAGTGCATAATGTGATGAATTGATAGCAATCTTTTGTATTTTTTTTTCTTTTTCTTTTTGAGATTAACTTTTTTCCTTATAATTTAGTCTCTCAACAGTTGACAAAAATTGGGTTATTCAGGTTATCTTTAGCAGGGAGAAAATGAACTCCTTGGAGTTGATGGCAAGTATGACAGTATGCCAAGTTTCCAGAAAAAACCAAAGGAAGTGAATGTCAGGTTGATTAATTTTTTCTAATTAATGGAAAGTATGCAGTGTTTTTTATTAATTTTACTTGGAGTTGATGGCACGTATGCAGTGTTTTTTATTAATTTTTTCTGTAGAATGTCAGGTTGATTTTTTCCTTTGGTTTATGCTCTCAGATGTTTCTAGTTCAGACAAAGCACTGCAGTTTCGATGTCGATGTAATTGAATAAAAAATAGAGAGAAGCAAGTGTAGTTTCATTTGTTTCCTCACCCATTTCATGCATGAGAGATTAAATTTAAATGCTATGTTGCCATCTTTCTGATGTGTGATTTGTGGAGAGAAAGTTTGTGGAAAGAAGTACCTTCCTGTGGGTTCTCACTGCAGGAGCAGAGGTTATCTGCTACTTTTTTTTGGTGTGTGGATGTGTTAGGTTATGCTGTTGTATTTCTAGTCATATCTTTATCTGACTGATTACAGGCAAAAGCTATGAACACGATTGTTTCCCCCTCGCATTTCATATTGTTCCTCCCCTTTGTGCAGATTCCACAGTGCTTGCTTATGTGTTGTCAGAGCTGAATCGTCGGCATAATTATGGCGTAAATCTATTTCTCTTGTCAGTTGATGAAGGCATCGCAGGGTATAGGGATGATTCACTTGAAACTGTTAAAAGAAATGAAGTCCAGGTGAGCAAGTCTCCTGATTTTTTAGTTTAGCACAAGTTGGGTCGTTTTTGCTTATTCTGCTATTGGTTCATTTATTTATTTTCTTGCAGCACAACATTTTAATTTTTCTTTTTGTCCTGTAATCTTTTCTTTACTGTTGTTGCTGACTCATTAATTTCTGTTCTTGCTGTTCTAAGAACTTCTATTTTAGCTAATAAAATGGTTTTTAATCTTTTGTCTTTTTAATCAACGAGTCCTGTGTGCTTATGTGTGTCCTTTTTTTCCTTTTCCTTTTTTCAGTATGGACTACCACTAAAAGTGGTGTCTTACAAGGAACTATACGGATGGACAATGGACGAAATAGTGAAGATTATTCGATTAAAGAACAATTGCACATTTTGTGGTGTTTTCCGTCGCCAGGTAGAGCAGTTATGCATTTTCAAATTGATGAACTTAATTTCTTTTTTTTCCTGCCCTTGTTTCTAGATGCAGAAATGATGAAATGAATTGAGTTTGATTGTAATGATGGAATGCTTTCTCTGCAAGGCCCTTGATTGTGGTGCCTCATTGCTAAAAGTAGACAAGCTAGCTACTGGGCATAACGTAGATGATATTGCTGAAACAGTTCTTTTAAACATATTACGAGGTGATATTGCTAGGTAATATCTCATCTAAGGTTTCTTTTTCTTTAACTTTTGTTTATTTGCTGAGTTAAGATTATGTTTTTCTGTTGTAGGTTGAGTTTATGCACATTCTATAACCAATTCCAAGATGCAAGCCATTTAAGTATACCTATGAAAAGGAGATTGTTATATATCCTTTCCATTGGGTTGATGATTTGTGCCTAAAGTTGGCATTTGTATATTAATCTAATTTTTTACTGATTCCTTTTAGTTGCCAAACCTTAACCAGTTGTTCACGTATGCATATTTTAAGAGGCTTGACTACTCCACTGAATGTAATTTTCAACCCCTTTTCATTTTTATTTTCTAGGAGGCCACATTTACTCACAGTTTCCTTCCCAATCTCTCCCCAGGAAATGGAATTATCATGTTTAACATTACATGCTATATTTCTCTTTTCCTTCATATGCCTACTTCTGTGACTCCTCATACTAGCACCTGAGATATTTTATTTATTTTGGATGGTGATTTTTCCTTTATAATTCTCTGTTTTCCTTAATTGGTTCTTTGATGGGATGATGAATTTTTTTGGCTTTAATATTTTGTAATTATGTACCATGGCTGTACATTTTTTAATAATTTTTTGCATTGCTATATTTAAAAGTTTGTCTGCTACTGAAATTACAGGCATTTAACATAAAATTAGCACAAATTAGGAAGAAAAAAAAAAGAGGGCTATTACGGCGTTTCTAAGACGTCGCTAAATAGCATCCTAACGGTTGGATTTATTTGGGAAAAAGAGATACAACGGCATTTTTAAAAACATCGTTAAATAGCATGGCGACGTCATGTGACTTTGAGTAGAACCTTTAGCGACGTTTTTAAAAACGCCGCCTATAGTCATACAATGACGTTTCTAAAGCGTCATAGAGTTGTAGCGACGGCCGCATCTTCGGCGTTTGGTGCTAAACGTCACAAAAGGATTTAACGGCGTTTTTAAGACCTATAGCGGCGTTTTTTAAACGCCTCTAAAACTTCAATTTCCAGCAGTGTATATTATTATATATAATTACAAAATATTGTTGGGTTTTGAGTTTCAAAATCCTAACTATATTTTCTTAGATTTTTTTTTTAATTTACAAAATATAAAAACACATATTTTGTAATTGTAATAACCCCGACCCATGATTAACTATTAAACCATGATTAAGCCATGATTTAGTATGTCTAATGAGTAATTAAAATGAAATCCTGAGTTAATTACATGTGCATTGCATTATTTGCATTCCGATCTGTGTCTCGTAGAAATATCTGTTTGTCTTTCTATTTCGGTTACGAATTGAAGGTCTTATCATCCTCCGATTACGAAATTGACTCGATTTCTGTGTTAGTTAGAATTTTTAGAATTTTATGGTAGGTTGAATTGAAATCTGATTTGGAATGAATTAAATTAGAATAATTAATGTTAATTTGATTAATTTAAGTCAAGTTTAATTAGGCCTTCTTAATGGAGCCTAAGTAAGGCCTCTAGACGTCAAAACACTCTCATTTTGTTGTTCTTGAAGAAAAAACATGAGAAGAGAGGGAAGGCTTGAGGAGTAAATTTAACAAACGAGGAAGGAATGAGAGGAATCTAACTTGGAAAGTCAAGGGAATTAGCTTGGACCCTTAGTGAATTCACGACCTAGAGCTTGATTGAGAAGTTGGGGTAATGATACAACACCTAAAGTGTATAATTATAATATCTAGGACATGAATTCTTGAGGATTAAGTAGAGTTATGCAAGAATTGAGCTAGCAAAGTAGAGAAGAACAATTCATACATGCATGCACATCCTCTTTCATTTAGAGTTTTATTTTGAAGAATTCCTACATGCATGTGTTGGCTTATTTTTCCTACGAAGGAAAATCTCATAAATGTGAGCGTGCCAGCAAGGATTGAAAAATCCTTACAGATTAAATTCAAACCAATTATCAAGCGATTGTGTTGACGGTTCTTTTGCCTCGACGAAGAGGACTTCAAAATTGTCAAGTGTAGAGAAAAGAAAAAGTAAAAGAAGAAAGAGGGACGGAGAAAGACGGTTGAGTGAACAATCAAAGTAATAATTACTTACCTCTATTCATATGCTTCGAAAAAGAAGTGCATAAAATACTTTGAAAAGAAAATGCTGAAAATAAATGCTTCGAAATATAAATCTATGTTAAACTACTCCTAAGATAAGGAAAATGACAAGAAATATTGAAATCAATTGTCTTTGATTATGAATTCTGGATCTTTACAATGTAGCCAGTAATGGCTATTTATAGAGGAAAAAATACAGTAATAACTACTTAGTAACTACCCATTTCTTTCATATTCATTCTTGTCTTGCCATGTGTCCTTCCACTAATCCACTTTGTCCTTCATATTCTCCATCATCTCTATAACTTCTTTTAACTTTTTAAATGAATAAGAGGATGCAACGTGTCTTGAAAATAATAATAATAATATTTTATGGTGCCAACATTACCCCCTGCGGCCCTTAAAAATGATATTTACTTGAATTTTTGAAGGGCCGAACTAAGCACATGACTAATCTAAGCAATAAAATGCTTCGAATAATATCAACAAAGTGGTTCGAATGATATAATAGCACCAATAAAGTGCTTCAAATGATGTAATAGCACCAATAAAGTACTTCGAATGATATAACAGCACTAATAAAGTGCTTCGAATAAGTATGAAATTATGACTAGATGATCCATAACAAGCTTTGAAAGTGAAAATCACACAACCAGTACTTACAGACCGCTTGAGCGAAAGAAGGTGCACTCAAGCGACCACTCACATTTAGCATGTCCGCTCGAGCGAAGGAAATTGTGCTCGAGCGGGACCCTTGTTTTCAGCAAGTTTTGTTAAATGTATTCAAGTGCATTTTAGCATCTTCATTGCATCCTAGGCCAAGATTAAGACACAATAATGAGGACAAAAGTTAGAAACACACCAAGATAATAAAGAACTAAGTTAATGATTCTGGGTGTGTAATTCAATACGTATCCATTCTATGTTTGTGTAAGTCATGTGCCATAGACGGCCTAGTTTATCTGCTTAATCTGTTCTGCAAATAGAGCCCTCTGTGAGTAATAACTTAGTAAAGCTATGTCTAACTTTAATTATTTTATGCAATGTTATATTCTGTACAATGAATGATTGTCCAAGTTTTTGAAATATATTCGTGGCATCCTTAGCACAAGGTCATTGCCCAAGGGTAACAATACTGTGGTTTATGAGCACAAGGCTCTTGCCCGGGGGTAATAATACCGTGGTCTCATGGCCCTTGCTCGGGGGTAATAATACCGTGGTTTCAAGGCCCTTGCCCAGGGGTAATAATATCGTGGATCAAACATGTTACAAGTTCCCCGTACCGGAGATTCCTTTATGGAACTGACAAGTATGACCTTTAATGCTCTGTATATGATCTGTTAGTGCTAATAGGTGTACCACGTATGATCTTATGTGAAATACAAATATGAATATGAAAATAAATATGAACATGTATATGAATCTATTTCTGATATGAAATCTGAATAAACATAAGAATCTGTTCCTGATATAAATTGTGATTTCTGACTATGTGATGGACATTATTCATTTAAACCCTTTACCTTATTATTATTCACTAGGCTCCAGCTCACTGTAATTATTTATGTATGTAGGTGACTAGGCGCGTGATTAGGCCCAGAATTGAAGGCCTAAGTTCTATTTTGTCAAGCCATCCACCTTACCTCCCGGGGAGGTTCCCGTGTATAAACGTCAAGTTTTGTGGACCATGTCAAGAGTTATTTTGTGTATCATGTTAAGAACATTTATATTTTGTCTTGTTTGTTTATCTGTATTTTGGGGCTAAGCCCCTTTTGATGATGTTTGCACGGTGTTGCAAGACTTATGTGGACATGACATCTTATGTATATATTTTATAAGGTTTCAAATTTCTGTCCTATATATGTCTGCACAGCTCTATGAACTATGTATATTTTATATATTTGTTTCCGCAGCCCCTAATTATATGTTATTCTATTAAGAGGCCTTTGGTAATCTAAGGATTACTGGTCGGTTACGACGCTAAACCTATAGAGGCAGGTTTGAGTCGTGACAGTAACTATTGGTTCTTTTACCTTAAATGTAATTATTAATTGTTTAATTAATACGTTGAAATTTTTTAATTCTTGATGTATATAGGGAAATTTAGCAAAAAAATCTTTTAAAAATTCACTAAATATAAAAAAAATTAATATATAAATTCAATACATTTTCCTTTTTTTTTTGTATTTATTGAATTTGTTTAGATTTATTCACAAATATTTTACTATGTAAGTACATTCAAATTAGGTGTATCTAAAAAATGAAAAAATCACTAAAATAGGAAAAAAATTCACTAAAAATAACAAAACACGAAAAATTAAAAACTAAAAAACTGTTTTTGAAAACTCAAAACGAGATAGAGTTGGTTCTTTCACCTTTTTTTACGTTTCACACCATTTTTGTCTTGTTTGATCTTGTTTTGGGAGGTTGAAGTCTATATCAACTCATGCATGTTATGTTTCAAAGTTTTGAGTTTGAATTCTGCACAAATCACATGCTTTTGAGCCTTAACTTCATGCAATGATTTTTGATTCTTCATACTTTACAAGTGTAGATATGTTCCCTCAAGTTTTGGGGCAAAAAAATTAATATATAAATTCAATACATTTTTCCTTTTTTTGTATTTATTGAATTTGTTTAGATTTATTCACAAATATTTTACCATGTAAGTACATTCAAATTAGGTGTATCTAAAAAATGAAAAAATCACTAAAATAGGAAAAAAAATTCACTAAAAATAACAAAACACGAAAAATTAAAAACTAAAAAACTGTTTTTGAAAACTCAAAACGAGATAGAGTTGGTTCTTTCACCTTTTTTTAACCCCCTAATATTAACTAATAATGATTTTTTTTTTTTCAAATTTCTAACTATACTCCTTCCAAATGCCAAATATGGAAAGCTTTTTAAAATTACATTTTTTTTTAAAAATTTAACACTGATTGCTATTTCATTTATTTTTGTTTTAAATACACATGCTCAAATTATTAATCACTATTACATCTTTTTATTTATTTTTTATTTTTATTTTTATTTTTATCTTCCTTGGTTTTAAAATTTTAAATTTTTTTTACATCCTTCTAAGAAGTTTGAACAATAAAAACTTTTAATGCAAATTTTATTTAATTTTTACAAAAGATAAAAAAATCAAAAAATAAATGACTTATTTAGCATTTGTCAAATATGGTGGATCCTTTTTTTTCTTTTCTTTTTTTTTTAATCTCAATCATCAATTAAACAAAATTAAAATAAAAAAAATATTTTTGGCTTAAATAGTTAAAAATGACTTTTTCTAAAACTAAATAAAAGAATATGTATATATTTTTTATTAAAAGTAATGGTTGGTGAAA